GATAAAATGGCTAATACACACATTAAAAATACTAAAAGACACTAAAGACCCAGAAATGCAAATTAAAATGAGATACTGGCTGCTAACCATCAGTTTGGCAAAAATTAAAGACTGATAACATTCAGTGTTGGTAAGGAGCTGGGAAAAAGGGCATTCTCACATACTGTTAGAATGTCAAAGAACGAGCATAAGTTTTTTTTGTTTTTTTTGTTTTTTTTTTTTTTTGAGACAGAGTCTCCCTCTGTCACCCAGGCTAGAGTGCAGTGGCATGATCTTGGCTCACTGCAACCTCTGCTTCCCAGGTTCAAGCAATTCTCCCTGCCTCAGCGTCCTGAGTACCTGTGATTACAGGCACCTGCAATCTAACCTGGCTAATTTTTGGATTTTTAGTAGAGACAGGGTTTCGCCATGTTGGCCAGGCTGGTCTCAAACTCCTGACCTCAGGTGATCCACCTGCCTTAGCCTCCCAAAGTGCTGGGATGACAGGTGTGAGCCACTGCATTCAGCCAGGCATAAACTTTTTGAAAGGCAATTTGTTTTCCTCAACATTTTAAATAAATATTTGACAAGCAATCCATATTTAAAATCTAGCACAAATGTGTCCAATGAATATTCAAACAAGATTGTTCACTGCATGTTTTTGTAATACTGAAAATTTGGAAATAATCTAAACATCCTTCAATAGAGAGCTAAGTTGAACAAATTATTAGGAAGATAAAATGTGTGGTCACTCTAATATAGAATAATGCTTATGATATATTACTGAACTAAAAAAGTAAACATAATATCATATATACCGTGTGACATAATTACCCTAAAAACCTTAACACATGTGCATTTTTCATGAGTTCACTTAACAAGCATTTACTGAGTATACTATTTGACAGGTACCTTGACAGGTGTTGATTATGTAAGTGATTTAAAAAACAAAAACAAAAAACAAGAATCCTGTCCACATGAAATGTATAACCTATATGTATATCTATATGTGAACTGAAGGAAAAAAACCAAAGGATTTACACCAAAGGAAGTTAGAGGAAACTTTCATTTTTTACTTCACACATCTCTAAAATGTTTGCTTCTTCCCCAACAAGTATTTAATTTCATTTTAAAAATATCTTTAAATGCCACTACCTTCTTTTGATACTAACTCCAGGAGATCTGGCCACAGGTCAAAGCTATTTCAGTTCTCCCAAACTGTGCATTTAGCTCTAATGAAAGAAACCAGATGTTACCATAGTGTCCACCCCTGTTTCCCGACGAGCAGCTTCTACTCTTCTGCACCCTTAATTCAGGGCTCCATTATCTGTTGGACAGATTTCTTGAGAGCCTCTGCACTTCTCTGCTTCACATTCTGTGGCCTCTAATTCATTTGTACAATATAGATGAGTGTTTTCTAAGAGAAATTCTGATTATATATTGCCCTTCTTTCAACAGATCCCCTCTGCCATCAGAATACAGTTCACATTCAACACAGCTTACATATGGACATAACCTAGCCCCTGATGACCACAGCAGCCTGAACACTCTTTCCCATCCCTCTTTACCTGCCTAGTTTCTATTCATCTTCAGATTTCAGCCAGATGAGGAGCTTGGGATAGTCTTCCCTGACTCCCCAGGATGGAACCAGGGCTCCCTGCTCCCTATGTGCACCCAGGCCCTATACTTACTTCCATGGTATCATCCCTTGCATGGTATTATAATTGCCTGCTTATTCCAACTAAACAGAAAGCTCCTTGAGAGCAGGAACCATTTCTTGGTCTTTACAAAATTCTTAGTGCCTACATAATGCCTATTACAAAACAAGCTCCCAAAACATGAATGCACTTCTATTTTTAAGCTCACTTATCAGGCCTGGCCTGGTCGGATCTGGCCCTGCCTAGTTTCTGTAGTTTATTCTCTGCCCTCTTCCTGCTCCAGTGATTTGGAACTTCTATGTATTGTGACTACATCTCAAAACATGTTGTCTCCTCTACTTAGAATGTTCTTCTTCTCATTTACCCAACTGGCAAAGTTCTAATTAATCTTCAAGAAGCCATCAAATAAATCACCCCAGAGCATCTTTTCTCAGTCCCCTACCCAACCCAGTAGTTTCAAGTAGGACTCCCTTACCTGTGCTGCTTTAGTAGTTTATATACATGTGCTTGTCAATTTACACATTTTAATCCCTCTTTTTCCGTGTACTCATTGGGTTTTCCACCTGATTTCTAGTGCAGCATGGCACAGAGCAGGCAGCATTTGATGACAGTTGAACTAAACAGAGCATCTCGGAGCCACACAGAGCTTAAGAGCACACATGGCCCTGTCCTCCAGTGCCTTGATTAATTCTCACTCAGCCTCTCCCATGTTAGAGTTGAGGAAAGTGAGGCTTTGAGAGGTTAAGTACATCATTATACACATATACAGTTTCCAGAATTTCTTAATTCTGAGATAGATTTTCATTTTTTAAAACATTTATAAAATGAGGATGCAGTTTACAATCAATATGTACATTTAATGTAGTAGTATTTCCTAAGAAGCTATTATTAAATTGGCGGTGCTCTTGAATCGGCCCCTAGTGAACCCAGGAGAAGGCTGTCTGACTTCTAAGTGTGTGTGTGTGTCTCCCATACCACCAAATAGCCTCTCGGGGCATATGTCTTTTTTCTTCCTTTCAGTCTGCTTTTTCATTAATCGAATCCACACTTGTGACTGCCCAGATGAAGTGAATGAATAGATTTTATAATGAAAAAGGAACTTCTGAAAGATTAGCGACTAGCAGGAACAGTAAATGCTGGTCAAACATAGTTTTGGCAAATGATATATTTCAAGTTTTTCTGATGTGGCAGTCGCAAGAGCTCATAACACCCTTCTAAAATAATTGGGTCTCTAAAGTGGTTCCAAAAGATTTTTGCTTGACATAAATTCTCTAAATTTCCAGGCTTTCTGGATAAAATAGTTGACTGCAATGCCATCTTCAATGTGCTGTGCTCTATATTTGGGAAGATCCATCAGGAGCCTCAGAGCACTCCAGACAGGGAGAGGCTCAGGTGAGATGGAACAGTAAGATAAAGAGGCAGAGAAAGGAGGCAGGCAGGAATATTGAACTCGGAGCTCCTTGCCTGGGGCACTTCTGAGTCACACATTTAAACACTTTAGCAGCCCTAATCTACTGTAGCATTTTCCCAATAGGTCACTGGATATCGAGTATCAGGTCTTCGTTTCCTATTCATCTCCCATGCATGAGAGGCATCAGCATGATTATTTATTCTTCCATAAGGAGGAACAGTTGTCTGCAGAATTTACTGCCTCTTTTTTGACAAAGATCACTTAAACAGTTCTATTTTCCATCCATCCATTCATTCATTCACTCATTCCGCGTTTATTCTTTTAAGGATTACCTGCTACAGCATAAAGAAACCACAAATCTGTGTCCCTGGCTTACAAACTCGACTTTGATAGAAGAAAGAATACTGGATTTTCTGTATCAATTGCACATGAAGTAGGACTCTCTGTTCAACCCTATAGCCAGAACATTCTTTAGCTTACATTAGCCTTCAGAGGGCATTTCAGGCTAGAAGAGTGTTAAAAACCCTACTCCATCTAAAATATATATGGGTTTCCCTTTTCCACAGGGCAGCTTAGGACAGGTGTATGTTGCTTTAAGAAAGCTAGACATAAAACATTAAAACTGACACCAATACAGACAAATTGTGCAATTACAAAAAGAATTCCTGGCTTTATATCCAGATTCACCACAGGGTTCCTTTAAATGCTGCACTTCCCTAGTGCATTTAGATCTCAGAATCAATGAACGTTTCTGTTTACAGAATTTTAAATTTGTTCTCCCATTAGGGTTCTAATAAGCAACATGGTACAAATAAAAAGAGTATGGGCTTTGAGGTCAAAAAAGCCTGGGCTCCAATTTAGATTCACCATTTACTTACTGAGGAAACTTGGGTAAGTTTAACCTCTTAGAGCTGAGGAAAGTGAGGCTCAGAGAAGTACATCATTACATATACGGTTACCATAGGTCCTTAATTCTAAGATGCACCTCTTTTTTTTCCTTTACTTTTAACATTTCTAAAGCCTCATCTTCAAAACAGGCATAATAAAATCTACTTTCCAGGGCTGCTGTACAGATTAAATGAGGTAGCATTTCTAGGTACACCAAGGCACTCCATTCATTAGCTCCCATGTCCTTGAAAGGGGTCCTCCTTTTGGAAAGACCAACTCCTCCCCTGGCACACAAATCCCTTTTAAAATACCTCCCCCCGCAATACAGAGTCTTGCTCTGTCACCCAGGCTGAAGTGCAGTGGTGTGATCATGCCTCACTGTAGCCTTGACCTCCTGGGTTTAACCAATCCTCCCACATCAGTCTATGACATATTATTGAGTTAAAAAAGTAAATGCAGTATCATATATACTGTGTGACATAATTACCCTAAAAACCTTAACACATGTGCATTTTTCATAAGTTCACTTAACAAGCATTTACTGAGCATACTACTATTTCTAGTCATACTACTATATATTTGACAGGTACCAGTCACTGGGACTACACACGTGTGCCACCACGCCTGGCTAATTTTTAATTTTTTTTTGTGAAGACAGGGTTTCACTATGTTGCCCAGTGTGGTCTCAAACTCCTGGGTTCAAGCGATCCTCCTGCCTTGGCCTCTCAAGTGTTGGAATTACAGGTGTGAGCTACTGTGCCTGGCTACAATACTCTTAATAAATAATAAATTCATCTGTCTACAACTTTCTCAGTCTATCTGGCATGAAAGTAAGGCCTACTGTGTGTGGTATTTTGGTGACTGACCCTGCTGCAGCCAGTCTACCACAGCAGGTCCACAGTGGGCCACAGGCTCGAAATTCTGCACCTCCCCATGGCCTTGGGTGCCCAGGGTCTCTGCCTGATCTGTATCCCTCTGTCATAAGGCAATCATCAACTCTGTATTTTTTTCTCCATTTCTTTCAAGTTCTTTTATTTCTTTGTGTTCATACTCTCTGTGTGTCTCTTATCCTCTTTGGGCCTCAGTGTATTTCACAGTGGTTAAAAATTTGGATTTAATTCTATACAGACTCGTATCTTAAAACTCTCTCTGGTTGCTGTGTAAACAACAGACTGGAGAGAGGCCAAGAGCACGAGCACAAAAACCATCCAGGGTGCTATTTCAGCAGTCTAGGTGGACAGTCATGGTGACTTGGACCCATCCTCCAACAGAGATGAAGACAACTAAATGGATTCAGGATCTATTCCAGAGGTAAAACTGACAAGACTTGTTAATGGATAAGATGTGGGGAGACAGTGCAGGAAAAATTCAAGACTGACAGCTGGGTATGTGGCTCAGGTGAATGGGTAGATGATGGTGCCACTCTGTGCAGAGCACCTGCTTTATCTCCCTTAAAGGATCAATTTTACTATAATTTTTTTTTTTTGGCGGGATTGGGGGTTAAGTAAACTGCAAAGTAATCTTAAATGTTCTTTTTACACTAAAATATGGCAAGCCACTGCTTTGATTGGCATTGTCCCTGCCTTGCTCCTAAACTGTTCATAGCTTAAATGTGAAGGTCATTGTTTAAATGTCAATTTCTCAGACAGGGGCTCCCTGAACACCCTATAGGATGCAGAGAGCTCCCCTCCATTCTATCATTCTCCCTCTCAGCCCCTTATGTACACTCTTGCTCTAGAATAAGATCCTCCTTAGGTCTGACACAGGGGAGCACTTCAGTGAATGTACGACACAGCTACAGATACATTATGGATCGATATTTACATTTCACATGAATTTGTAAGATACAACTTAAGAGTCCAATGATGCCATCATGAATTGTCCCTCAGACCAGAACCCCATACCCTGTCGTACATGTTTACTCCCCCTCTGCTCCTAGCAGTACTTTGCGGAATAATGTTTGAAAAGCCCCACAGGCTATCTCACTGGTGACATTCTAGGGGTCTTGTGAAAACAAAGTAAATCAGCAAGCAATAAGGTGCTCTGTGACTCTAAACAGATATAGTTAGGAGGGAGTCCACCTGACAAAGCTAACACTTTTCTTTCAAGTTCTTCGTGAAATTTTATAAAAGTAGGAATGAATGTCACTAGGTTTATTAACAATATTATAAGAACTTTTTAAAAGAATCTTCAGACTAATAAAAATTTGTCTTTCATATCAAAAGAATGGACAGGAATAAGAAAAAGTTAAGATGCTCCTGTTCAATCTTTCCACAGACAATACAGAAAATCACCTCTATTTTATAATGAGACTATTGTGACGTTAAGCAGAAAACTATTCTGCTTAGTAAACCCCACTTTGACGCTCTCTTTTGTAGATTAAGAGGTATCTATATTTCTGTGTCAATGTTAAAAACTGAAATTGATCACTTTCTCAGCAGTGTGTCTGTCATGTCCAACATAATGCTTCAGAAGGCTGGGAAGGACTGATGGTTAACAGCATTTTTAAACAACAACAACAACAACATAGTACTAAGAAACTCAGAAGGTCACTGATTGTGAGGGTAACTTTGACAGAGGGAGAACTTGAATTAAGGCCTTTATTCACTAAATAACAGCTTAGTGTATTTTACTGCCTAAATCAAGGGACCTGACAAGCCACTCTTTACTGTGTCAAAAACACACCCACCCAACTGTTAACATGAATAAAGAGGCTTCATCTAATTCTTCTAAAACTGGATTCTCCAATTACAATTTTCTTAAATAGTAGGGACTTCCTGCCAATGCAGGTAGATTCCAAATGTCAAGTGGGTCAGTGAAAAAAAAAAAAAAAAATGAAAGGTTGAAGAGAAACTTTAAAAGAGACATTTAAAAATAGGCATAAAAAATAGACCTTAGCAGAGAATTGACTGAAACATACTGTGAAAAGACTACTATAGTATATTCTTTTCACATGAATATTAATAGGAAAAAAACCATGCAATGTTCATAGTTATAAGTTGATGAAATAACTATAAATAATGCAAATCAAAATTTTAGATCAGTTACAAGTGTCTATAAATGACAGTCTATCCTAAAAAGCAGAATGATTTTAAAACCCTAAGGGCTTCAATTGACAAAGCTATTTACCTAAACAAAGAAGAGTTATTTTGCTCAAATACATACCAACTTCTGATTTTTCACAAATGAAAACTGGGGAAGGAGTGCCACACTGAAGGACAACAGAGCAAATATTAGGACTGCCATTAGGCCTACATTTTGATTTAATAATGAAATAGTTTAAGTTCTAAATTTATTATTATTATCAAACAAACAGTTGTGTAGTCAGTCTGGAAAAAAGGTAAGGGAAGAGAAATGTCTGTGGGCAAGGAACAAGTTCACTGTTAGCCTATCAAAGGATTTCTGAAATCTTGTTTTAGCACAACTAACCTCTGTGATAACTACTGACTCTACATGGCATATGTATTTTGATTTGAAGTGGTATTTCCCTCCTTCTTCACTGAAGTTCAATAAGGGTAGCAAAGAGACAAGTGCTGTTCTGTACTCAATCAGGTAAAAGCTGTTTGATGACAGGGCTGCTCACTCTAATTCTGTCCCAGACATGGGGCATGGTAGGCACATTTTTGAAAAGACTAAGCCGGTCATTGTGACAGAGGCTCAGGAAATGCAGGATGAGTGCCTCTAACGTGGCATCTCTTTCCACCAAGTTCATGACTAAGTTCATGTGTCATAATAGGTAACTAATAGGTATTTCATAGCCAGCTGTGAGCACCAACAATTTTTTAAGTACTTTCTATGTGTTACTTTCTATGACAAGAGGATTTTCCTCTTTTCATTAATCACTCTCCAAAAAACTCTACTCATACAAAAGTTCAAAAATACAAGATGTACCCTGCCTTTATCAACCTAAGCTTAAACAAATATCTTTACCAAACTGGAGATCCTTCTATTTTATGAGACCAGACTTATTAAAGCTACAGAAAGAGCTTCTTTTGTTAAAAAGCTTTTTGGATTAAGAAAATAGACAGTAATTTATGTAAATGTATCAATCTCAATTGGCTTCTCTTGTATGAAAAGGAATAAATAATGCAGATCACTGTTTTTCAGATAACCGAGTCCTAACTCTTTGCCAAGGATATGGCAAAGATTCTGATGGAAATGGCAGTAATGTGTACACAAAGGTGAACATAAATAAATGTGTGTATGATAAGCGCTGGGAATGGACATAGAAAAACGGGTATGCAATTGGACAGAGACGACGGGAGACAGAAGGAAAGATACTGGCTCAGCTGTATCTAAATAAGTTCACAGGAGTTTCATGGTATGAAAAATCTGTGACAGTGGAATTTTTACTAAGAAACTTTAAAAAGTTTCACTTTCTCCTTGGACAATTCAGAATAAGGCCTTCTTAGAATATAATGCATTATATCACAAATATACTTTTATATAAAATATTTGGGAATAAAACAAGAGTAAAGAACCAGGATCTGAAAGGGTGTGTGCCTACTAAATATCTTTGATTATCTGAAGCTGTTTAAAAGCTATTCGATTGGCACCTGGAACCCCAAAATATCCACTTTTCACTGGGAAGGAGTGGCTGTGCCTCTTCAATCATCCCCTAAATGCAAAGAAGTTTGACCCCCATGCAATGGATAAAAGTCACCCAAAAAATGAACAAAAGAGGTGTTTGGAAAAACCAGAACACCATTCATCCCAGCTAACGACTTGTTCATTATGAGTGATGATGGATAAAGACTTCTCATGCTGAGATGAAATCAAGATTTATATGCATTGTTTCCTCTCCCAACTTGTGGGAAGATCATCATCATTTAATTCTATCTCTGCGGCCAGTGATGGGCATCCAGAGAGCTGGTTATCAAACGGCGCAGTCAGCTGGCAAAAGCCGAAACGTGCAGTTGGCACATCTGGACGGAGCCGCCACAGCCGAGGGTGAACAATGACTCCTGGCAAGCATCCAAATTGCTTGCAGACGCTAGCAGGTCTCATCTACAACCGCCCCTACCAGCATCTCTCTCTCTCTCTCTTTTTTATGAGAATCAGATTTTCATTGCTCCATTCAATTGCTCTCCTCTGCCATTTTTTACAGCTCTTATTGTTCCCCTGGAATATGGCCTTGAGACAGCTCATCCGTGTCCTTCACTGTGTTATCTCTTCTAACTTTTATTAAAACTTCAGCTTTCATCTGAAGATAGCTAATTAAATCTGGAACAGATTATATGCCTCCCCTTAAAAAGAGCACAAAACTATTTTCTTCAGCGCCAGCAATGCGTTTTTTCCTTTCCAAAAGGTGAAATCAAAGGTGTTTAAGAAGTCTCTTTATTTACAGAGCTAAGATATTCAACATGAGTTGATTTATATTAAAGTTGTCTGTGATATGACAGATCTTTGAGCTATTTCTCAAGATAATTATTTCTCAATCCTGGTATATATGCTTTAAATATCACAGCTAATACTATAAGCATATTTTCCATATAAAGTTGGGTAATGAGGAGTTAGGTTATTTGTGCACATCAAGTGACTTGCCTTTTTGTCTTTTTTTTTTTTTTTTTTAAAGGGTTGCCCTCATTTGATAAAGATGAAGAGAAATTTTTCTTTTCTTCCCCATACCAGAGACATTAGTAACTAAAAGTTCTCCCATGGGAAATTATGTGAAAACATGAAATTAAAAGTAGTGATTCAAGTTTAGGACTGATTCGGTTTTCAAGACAGCTTTACATCAACTAATCATCAGCACAAGTAGCTCTGTCTGAATCTACCACAAATTATTAATGAAGGAAGTTCCACAATTGATATGAATACATTCTTCTCACATATGCCACTGAGCCAGTCCCTTTCTGAGGCCCAGGGGCAATGTACAATCACCTTTTCTTGCATAGATCTGCTAACCAAACCTTCTAGCAATGACATCTGAAACAATCTAGCCAGCCATCACACACATATGCCTTATGCCCTTTTAATAAGGGTTAAGCTTCTACTACTGTGAGAATATGATTTAACTATCCCACCTGAAACTTTCTGGGATCCTTTTCTTCGCTTCACTGCTTTTAGTAAGATTTCCTTCATGGTAACCTTTGTGTTGTCCACCTGAATAAGGGAGAATCCATGAGCAGCATTTCTGTAGGAAAAGACAAATATTACATCATCACCAACATTCATCCAGAGAGATGTTACTGCGATCTTCACTGTGTTTAAGCAAGTTTTAAAGTAAGTGCATACTGAGGTACCAATTATTTAAAAATAGGTTGAATAGATATACTTCTAATGGTGGGGGATGGGAGGGGTGGTGATAAAAGATTCTAGCATGAGCAGTTCCAAGTGAAAGAGAGCTCAGGCTTAGGGAAGGTTTTTCTAATTTGTCCAAGTTGAACCTAAGTGGTCTGCGTGGGTCAGCAGCAGGGTTCCTAGTGTTGGCTTCCAAACCAAATCTTGCAACAAGGATTGACAACTGATAAACTTGGCTTGTATCAGCAGATGTCACTACAGGCAGATACTGCCATCATACTAAGCTAATGGAGCCCCAGACAAAAAAAAAAAAAAAATGTCATGTGGGGCCAGAGGGCAGTAATACCCCAAAGTAATTGAGAAGGAGGAAAATAAAATGCTCTAACTAGCTAGTAAATATATTTGTTTATTCATACACATACACTTTCTTTTTTTTTTTTTTTGAGATGGAGTCTCACTCTGTCACCCAGGCTAGAGTACAGTGGTGCAATTTCGGCTCACAGAAAACCTCTGCTGCCCAGATTCAAGCGATTCTCCTGCCCCAGCCTCTCCAGGAACTGAGATTACAGGCGCCTGCTACTGTGCCTGGCTAATTTTTGTAGTTTTAGTAGAGATGGGTTTCACCATCTTGGCCAGACTGGTCTTGAACTCCTGACCTCATGATCTGCCTGCCTCAGCCTCCCAGAGTGCTGGGATTACAGGCGTGAGCCACCGCACCAGGCTGTATTTTTTTTTTTAATACAGTCTATACACTTCAGTATGAATGCTTTAATCTACTTAGTCCTAGAAAGTCAAAATATTAGCTGAAGCACAAGTAATTATAAGACAAAACACTAACACTCCTTGTAAGCTTCCAATTAATCCAACTGGGTGGGGGAAAGGCTTCATCTGGATTGGAAAAAAACTGCTAAGGAACAAGTACTCTAAAAACAGAAGCCCATCTCCTGTGTGAGGTATAACTTCACCAAGACTGTTAATTGCAATAGCAAGTATCACAAATACTACTCACTACGCTTGGGCACTGGAACAAAACAGACCAATTCCAAGTAGCTCATGTAACAAACGGGACCCAAGTTTCCAACTATGGAACATGGGAATTGCCACAAGGAGTTTGGTCGCATTCCCATTTCTCCATAAGAATCTCTAAAGGGAACATGGCCAAAAAACATGGCAGAACTTCATATTGACAAGAAATCTGAAAGAAAAGCCAAGCCCCAAGCTAAGCTCTGGAAAAGCTTCCCAATGGTAGGACAGGCTGGGAAGGGTCTTAAGCCGAGGCTGGACCCAACCAGGTGGCTGACTCTCCATAGGGGCTGGGGGTCGATCTCAAAACCAAGGACCTAATTTGCTTCCCTAATACAGAGACATCTCCACAACCCTCCTCTCCATACGGCTTGCTGTTTAATCCTTGACATTCCATTTGTTAAAAAGCAAAAGCCGAAGCTGGTCTGGCCAGCACCATCATCCATTTTAACTTGGTCAAGTTCTTGCTATCGAACAGCAGGCCTGAGAACTGTCAAGCTAATTTTACTGAACACTCTGTTACTGAATCATGCCTGAGTCCCGGCCATTCTTTACCTCAGAAGCTGGACCCCATCCCAGAACAATCTTTAAAAGTTTATTTTACTGATCAAAGCAAAATAAGAAAAAGCTCTTTTTAAAAAACTATATTTAGGGAGCGATGCAGTAAGTGATACTTTGGCAAGAGTACTGAAATGTAAAGTGCCTTGTGCATTTATAAACTTGGGGGTATTTGCTCTGGCGCTAGGCCAGTGTGTGTTTGGAACAAATGCCAGTCAACCACGATCAGATTTGCCTTCCCCTGCTTTCTCCTCAGAAGTCAGTATGTGCTCCATCTGTGACAATATGTTGGGCGATGGATGAGTAGGGCCTAAAAGAGAACACAAGTTCTCGGGTACTCACAAACTAGTACTGGCCTGGACCTCATGAACTGCCATCCACCTGGTTCTAGCGGAACTACTGTAGATTTCAGTCTGCTTAGAAATTGCTTACGTTTCCTCCTACTCTGCTGCCGGCTGACAGCATTATTTCCAGCCAATACGTTTATCTTTTTCAGCAAAAGCAGACTAAAAGCTCAAAAGGAAGCCTTGTGTTTGGACTAACTTCCATAAATTAAAAGTGTCCTTTTAAAAGATTTTTGAGCAGAGGAAAATCCCCAGTCTGTATTTTTCTGTCATTTTACCAAAACGTACCTGGGTGACAAGGTTAAAGCAAGCAGAGGAAATCCCTGGCACTTATCATCCACAGGCATTACTGATAAATTGTGTGGTGGAGGAATAAAGGATTACCTTCTGTATTTTTTCATTACACTTTTCTTTTGTTACAGAATACATAAATCCATTGTGGCACAATGTAATATGTATCACCATGCTACACCTGCGGACGCTTCCGAGCGGCTGCCATGTCTGTGCAGTCAGGAATGATAAGTGAACCACCCGTGAATGTTAACGATAGTGATCATTCTGAGGTAACTCGGCTCTCCATCTTCCTTTACAGCCTCCGTGCTGAAGCCAGGGTAGCAAGGTTCATGAGAGGAAAATGAAAACAACAGCGAAGGGAAGGGGCACGCACGGCCCTCGGAATGGACCTTCGTGAGTGTGCAGTATCTTACTCTGGGGCTCCATTTCCGTCAAAACGTGCACGTTAAAAGGAGAAAGAGGTTCTGCCCTGCGTGCTGCACATTCAGGCAGACCTAATAAGAGTTTCCTCAGGTCAGTCCCACGCTCCGCTCCCTTCCCTCCAGACGAATGCCAACTTTGGATCTTGTTCCACGTCTACAGTGAGCGCTTTGCGGGGGAGATGGGCAGGGTTTTGTTTTTTGAGTAATACCCTCATATGTTTCTGAAACGTAAGAGCATAGAATGCAAGTGGTTCTCAGCCTCCGTCTAGGTGTAAGTGTTAAGTTATGCTCCCATTTAACAAGTGGAGATGGAGACTTGCCACCACAATTTTCAGCTTGACTTCCAAACATTCTGGGTTTTATGCCTCATTTCTTTATATCCAGGATTTTTTATGGGCTTTCTAAAAAGTCTATTGAAATACATCTTTTAAAGCCTTTACTTAATGTGGGACACTGGGTTTGAGGCTGAGAGGACAATGATCCGGGGGGGAGTGCTGGTAGTAGGCAGACAGGGTGCTCCTGGTCCCAGCCTGCCTGCCCTGTGGCACGTGCTCCAGTCTCTGGGTTAGGAGCTGTGGCGGGGTGATCAGCCCTCGGATGAACAGGCAGGCTACACACCGACCCAAAGTCTCGGCTCAGAAACCGCTCCTCCTCCTGCTCGCCTCAGGGACAGACAACTTCTTTTCCCTCAGAGCAGGGCATTCTATGGACACTGAAAAGCAGCAGCTGCCCTTCCCATGGCTCCTGGGGCTGTCCATGCTGGGTCTAGGGTGAAATTCCATGTCAGGGAGCGGATGAAACACTGCCAGGAGTGCTTCAGTCAATTCAAAGTTAGGTCCTGTCAAGTCTCGTAACCACTGAACAATGTATGGGCATTTTAAAAAGAGACTCCTCACTTGTGCGCTCCGTCCCAGCGCACAGCCACTCAGTTACCCCAGAGAAGTTTGTATGCCAGCATGAACCCAACACAAGCAGCCTTTCTGTACTAAGCAGTAAGCGAGAGGCAGTGGGAGCCACAGAGACCACAGGGACGTAAGTCTTCATCTGAAAAGCTTAGATTCTATCTTTAGGAACAGAGCTGGAACCAGAACCCAAGTTGGAAGGCAGCACACTGGAGAGGAAAAGGCAGATACTGGAGGTTAAATACCCTTTGACCGAAATCCCAGTTCTGTGGCTAACGGAGATGTTGCTGTAACATGTGGGAACCTCAGCTGCATCCATGAAATGAGTAGGCTACTTCCCTATAGAATTGTCACGAGGATGAAACAGACAATGAATGCCAAGCACCTCACACTATGACTGGCAAACAGTAAAGGGAGTCGATGTTAGTTCTCTTTTGTTCTCCTTGTCCTAAGTCATCATCCCAAGAGGAGAGGCCCCACTTCAGCCCCTCCTTCCCCTGCCTCCTAAACAGAGACTGCTTATGGGGGGGGGGGTGAGGATCTCAAAACTCATTGCCTGTCATTGGTAACACAGGGGCATTAAAATGTGTGATATGTTGAGCTTAGTGGCAATATTCAGGGGCA